AAAGTATTAATTAACATTGCAAAGATTACAAAGTCTGAAAAATAAATTGCTTTCTCGCCTATCTATAAATATTGAAACATCAAAAAGACTTTCAATATATAATATTATAATCTTTTATCTCTCTCACTGGACAATATTTTTCATTTAGCCGATTTAGCGGATGATTTGAAAGCGTGTACTTGCCGAACGGAGAGAGAAATCACGTCCCTCTCTCTCTCTCATCGAGAGTGATTAATCATTCACTTTATTATCTTTTAGCCAACATAATTTTCTGATACTATAGGTAAATAAAAAGTTTGCATTTGCGATTGCCATCAAGCGGATATTAAAAGCGACGACTTACTCCTTGAAACTGGCAATTTAATCGTCCACGGAAGTCATCTGAGTGCGCGCAACGAGAGACAGGATGACGATGTTGAGAGGAGGCATAAGAAACACAGTATATAAGGAGTAGAGGAGAAAAGAATGAACCCAAGTCTCTCTCTCTCTCTCTCTCGAGGTGCAACGGACTTGATGCGAAAAAGGGGTTTTAAAACAGAGTGAAGGAAGATGTCGACAGTTGGACGCGCCAGCTGGGAAGCAGCGCGGGCCCAACCAGTCGACTATATATTCAACTTCATATATATATCTTATCTCTTTTCTTTAGGTCCAAAAAGACGGGGCACTGATGCATACAACAATTCGCATTATTTACATTTTTAAACATTAACATTTTGACTACCTAAATTTATTAAGAAAAATCCTCATTAAGAAAATTTGATTGTTGAAATTTTTGAATTCGGCACACGATTTTTCGGATAAATACATAGTTTTTCTATATATAAGGATATCGAATTGAAAACAAAAAAAGAAATTCAATTATTTTCTGAAATTTTAATAAATTCTTTGAAACAATTCAATTATTTTTTTTATAAATAAAAGGTATAACAAAACTCTTCGCAAAAATTAAACTATTTTTATTTTTATAATTATAAAAAATAATTAAATTCTTTTCAGTAATTGAATTATTTTCAGTAGAATTTTAATAAAATTGCTCGAAATGATTCAATTATTGTTTAAAATTATTCTAAAGAATTCAATTAATTTTTGGAATTTTAATAAATCCTTTGGAAAAATTCAATTATTTTTATAAATATAGGTAACACAATTCTTGGCAAGAATTTAATTATTTTTAGTTTAATAAATAATACCAGGGATTCAATTATTTTCATAAATAATAAAACTCATCGAAGAATTTCAATTACTTTTTAATACTATTTTAAATTAATTAATCGAATAATTCAATTATTTTCATAAATAAAGTTTTACAGAAGAATTCAATTATTTAAAATAAAATTTTCATAATATTTATTGTATTTAGAAATAATCAATTATCTAAAGGAATGTTTATAAAATTCTTATGAAGAATTCAATTATTTTTAAAAATAACAAAATTTTTCACAGAAATTCAATTCTTTTTAAATATTTTAATAACATTTTTCGGAATAATTCATAATTATTTTCATAAATAATAAAATTCTTCACAGGAATTCAACTACTTTTGAAAATTTTAATAAAATTCTTTGCAACTATTCAATTATTTTCATAAATAATAAAATTCTTCGCAGGATTTCAATTGTTATTAATGCAATTTTGCCGGAATTGCTTGAGAAATGTAATTATTCTTAAAAATTTAATTTCAATTCCTCGAAGAAATCATTTATTTAAAAGAAATTTTTTTTTAAAATTCTTTGGAAGAATTTAATTATTGACAAAAATATTAGAATTTTTCACAGGAATTTAATATTATTTTCAAATATTTTAATAAAATTGTTCGGAAGTAATTATTTCCAATACAATTTAAATTGAATTTTTTTGAAGTAATTCAAATATTCTTTTAGAGTTTAATCAAATTCTTTACAAGAATTCAATTATTTACATAAATAATTCTTCAAAAGAATTCAATTATTAAAGATAAATAACAAAATTATCCCTGAAAATTGAATTATTTTGAGGCATTTGAATAAAATTCTTTGCAAAATTTAATTGTTTTTATAATTAACAATATTCATCACAAGAATTCAATTACTTTTAACAGTAATAAATTTCTTCTTGGAAATTCAATAATTTTAAAAAATAACCAAATTTTTCAAAGAAATTCAATTCTTTTAAAATTTTTCTTAATAATTCAATTATTTTCATAAATAATAAAATTCTTCTCGGGAACGTAAATATTTTTAAAAACTTTAATAAAATTCTTTGGAACTATTAAATTATTCTCATGAATTATAAAATTCATTGCTGGATTTTAATTATTTTTAATACAATTTTAAAAGAATAGCTTAAAAAAATGTAATTATTCTTAAGAATTTAATATCTACTCCTCGAAAAAATCAATTTTTAAAAAAGTGTTTTTTTAAAATTCTTTGGAAGAATTTAATTATTTTCAAAAATATTAGAATTTTTCACAGGAATTCAATTATTTTCAAATATTTTAATAAAATTGTTCGAACGAAATCATTTATTTTCAATACAATTTAAATTAAATTTTTTTGAAATAATTCAAATATTCTTTTAGATTTTATTAAAATTCTTCCCAAAAATTCAATTATTTACATAAATAATTCTTCGAAACAATTCAATTATGTCGATAAATAATAAAATTATTCCTGAAAATTGAATTATTTTGAGGCATTTTAATAAAATTCTTTGTAAAATTCAATTATTTTTATAAATAACAATATTCATCACAAGAATTCAATTATTTTTAAAAGTAATAAATTTCTTTTTGGAATTTCAATTATTGAAAAAAATTCAATTAAAGTCGTTCGCAGGAATTAAATTATTTTCATAAATAATAAAATGCTTTTTAGGAATTAAATTATTTTTCAAAAAGAAAACTCAAGAATTCAATTATTTTCATGAATAATAAACATTTCTCAGGAATTGAATTATTTAAATTAGAATTTACATAAAATTAGTCGAAAGAAATGAATTATTTAGAAATTTTTATAAAATTCTTCGCAAGAATTAAATTATGTTTTTATTTAAATTCTTTCATGAATAATAAAATTCGTTGCAGGAATTCAATTTATCAGCAGGATAAGAAAGAAGTAAATATTTTCGTTGAAAATTAGGAAAAAGTCTGGAAAATAAAATATAGAATGGAATTTTTGTCAGTTTTGTGAAGTGTCTAAAACGAGTTTTTTTTTGTCGTCAAGTTTAATTTTTCGATAGCTACTTTTTTACTACTTTTTACTACTTTTTTTTAGTTTGAAATCTACTTTTTTGCTACTTTTTGAAAATTAATTATCGAGTGCGAAATCTGATTACTGATTAATGATTAATTAAGTCGTTTTTTTTGGTGGTGAATAAGAGCGAAGAATGAATAAGGGCTGAAGTATTTCTTCTTTTTGGTACTTAACATTTTACAGGGAAGCCAGTGACCGGTCGACACCCACTTGTTGGAGTATTACACGCGTCATCAGGCATAAAGGTCGCATTAGGTAGCACTGTGCACGCAAACACCTTAACTCAATGCGAATGCACCAAAGGAACACGTGGACCAAGTCCATTTACATAGTGTGCAAGCACAATGCACCTGTCGGACTGAAAAACTATCTAACTTCTTCACTATGTAAAGTATCACTTAACAAAGGCCGAGCTCGTTTTACTCTTCTTTCTTTTTTTCATCAAAAAAAAAAAAAAAAAAAAAAAAAGTTTCAAACAATTATTTCACAATTCAACGAAAGAATTTATCATCTTAATTGGTATAGGGAAGTCACTTTTTCTAAAAAATATTTTCTAATCAATTTTTTCTAAAAAAACTATTAATGATAACTTCTATTACCGTGGGATTTGAGTAAAAAAAGTTTTGATCCAATATAAATTTTTGAAAAATTATTCCGCAGTAAAATTAAATATTATTAAAATCACAGTTTTCTTGAATCAAATTTCTTGTATCAAATTGATACTTAAAGTCGTTCAAACTGAAGCAATTCTATTAATTTTGGATTTGATACACATTTTTGGTATCAATTCGTTGCAAATTTGAAACTATTACAAGGTTGCCAGAGGTCAGAGAATTTAGGAAAATATCAGGGAAAGTAGAATTATTGCTCAGGGAAATATTCTAAGTAATAATTGTTTTCAAGAAAAATTTTAGTTAAAAATAATGTAAAAATATTATATTACACAAAACATTTTGGAATATTTTTCATTTTTGACGTTAAAAATAAAATAGAAATTTAATTCTACAAATATTATTCGGCAATTTATCATGTCTTTTGAAGTTTAAATTAATAACAAAAATTTTTATTTTATATTCAAAATGTCATATAAAGTTCGCTCAATTTATTAACGACAAGTGAAAAAATGATTTTTTTTCCAGTTAAAAACACATAATTTTATAATAAAAGAAATTTGAAAAAATTATTTTACAATAAAATTTAATTTATTTTTTCATTTCAATTTACTTTGTGTGATAAAAATTCCAGAATGTCAAAGGCATGCCACGCACAAATAAAATTACAATTTTCTCGATTGGAAATTTCTCTATGGAACGTTGTATATTTCTTGTTTTTATATTTATTAAAAGTTTCTCTGTTTAATTAAAAATTGAAATTAGATTTTCTTTTATTTGAAATCAAATTTTTTAAAAACCAAGTTATAATTATTTTGAAGTCATAATTTAAAAAAAAATATTTATTACGAATTTCGAAATATTTTTTATTCTTATCTTTTTTTTTGTTCCAGCTTAAAAGAAGTTAAAACACACGAAATTTTGAAATATTACTTCATAATAAGATTAAATATAGAATTGCAAACAGATAATAAATTAACGAATATAAGAAATTAAGATGAAAAAAAATTATTTTTTATTCTCTAAAATTGTTTGATTTGTCTATTTGTGTGTGTGTAGGTGGAATAATAAAACTGTAAAAATTAACATAATAATAGTGAGTAATGAGTGAAAAGTAAATAAGGAAATAGTTCGTCCGTTTAGTATTTAAATCGAATCTTTCGTTTATCATTGTTCATTAATTTTTTGTCGTTTCTTGTGAATTTGTCTCATTAAAATTATATTTTTCAAGAATTTGATTACAAGAAATATTTATCATGAAGAACTTTGGGATATTTTTCCTTTCTGCTCTTTTCTTTGGCAGTGTTATAGCAGGTAAAATAAATTTTATAGTTTTTTTTTGGTTTCATTTGGAAAAAATCGAGTTAAAATTATTTTCAAATTCTAATAATTTGATTTAATACATTTTATTATATTTTGATTAAAATTATTATAGTTTTGATTTAATAAAAAATATTCAATTACAAAAAAATAAATAAAATATTTTTTTTTTTAATTTCGATTTTTAATTTAATATTTTAATATTTTTTTTTATATTTTAATATTTTTATATTAAATAAAGTCATGAATAAATTGTAAACTAATTTCAATTTGCGACTTTCTATTAATTCAGACTTAGAGAGTAGGAAAAATATTTTTCAAAATTTTTTTTTTTCAATTTAATTATTTTCTCTGATAGATGAAATGTTTGACGATGATGAATGGTTTTATAATCATCAAAATACGGCGATGGAGTGGGGAAAATTGAGGGAAAAAGAGGGGAAAAAACGAGAATATTTTGGAAAATTGAGAGAAGAAGAAGGAAAATTGAGAGAAGCAGAAGGGAAATTAAGAGAAGAGGAAGGAAATTTTAGAGAAAAAATAGGAAGATTGAGAGAAGAAAGAGGACGATTGAGACAACAGGAAAGAATGGGTAGAAGTGTAGAATTGGAAAAATTAAATACAAATATTATAAATAATAATCAAAACAATGTGATACAAGACAAGGAAGAAATTTTGAAAATAGCACAACAAATAGAAAATGGAAATCCACCGGCCAATGTTGATTCAAATACAATTTCTTTTACTACGGTAATTTCTTTATCTATCTACTCTTTAATCAGAAATTAAATTAAATTAAAATTAAAATATTTTCATCTCTAAAAACAATTTTCGACGCTAACTTCAAGGAACATCATTTTATTGGCATATAAAAACAGAAAAAAATATTTTATTGATTATAATTGTATAATTTTTTTTATGATAAATACAAAATAAAAAATTTCTTACTTTTTTTTTGTAATAAATTCAAAATAAAAATTTTCTTATTTTTTTTTTTGGTAATAAATTCAAAATAAAAAAATGATTTTTATTTTTTTGTAATAAACTCAAAATAAAAAAATTATTATTTTGTATTTTAGATGATAAATTAAAAATATAAATGATTTGCAGATTTTTAATGAAAAATTCAAAATAAAAAATGATGGAAAATAATTTAGAATTCAATTTAATTTATGAATTAACAAAAATTTTAGAATATCCGAGGAAAGCCCTACATAATAAAATCTACATATTTTTCAACAAGTGTAAATACAGAAGGTACCATTTACTCTGTTAAAACAACTTATGATGAAGAAAAACTGAAAGATGTTTCGATAAGTGTATTAACTTGGAATGAAAATGGTAGTTCGACAAAATACTATAATAATATTGGACCAGGAATAATCATCAATGGAAAATTAATGTAGAGTAAAATATAATAATTTGTGTAATAAATAAATAATCATAATTATAAAAATATAATAAATAAATATTATCTATAAATAGATAATAATCTATCAATTCGTAATAATTGGTCAATAATTATAATTGTAGTTTAATACAAAAATATAAAAATTAAAACAATAAAAACATAAAAATAATAATAATTATTATAAGCAATTGTAGTTTTCGTAATAAATATATTTCATAATTGTCATTTCAATTTTAAATCGGACAGAATGTAATTTCCCTTTCCCTTTTTTTTATTTAATTTAAAAAAAATTTTTTTTAATTTTATTAGTTTTATTTAATTATTTTTTTATTTATTTTTTTATTTTATTTTTATTTATTATTTTTATTTTTTCATTGATTGTATTGATGTAAATTCATTCCCTTTAATTAAAAATAAATACTTTGCAAATATTTATACATAATTATTGAGAGAGAAAAAATATAAAAGTGGCTTAATTTTCACTAATTCAGAAATTGAGAGTAACGTGGAAAAAATAATTTTCTTTAATAGTTTTTTAACTGAGTTTCGTAACAATAAGAAACAAAAAATTTGAGATAATTGCTTAGATAAGAATTGTTTTAGTATCGAACATTCCCGAAAGGGTTAACGAGCTCTCCTCTCCTCTCTCTCTTTTCAGTGAGTGTGCGCTTAAAACGACGTTTACATACACATTTACACACTCATAAACTGAAGAGGAAACAAGTAGAGAATGTTTTACACCCCCCCCTCTCTCTCTCTCTCTCTCTCTCTATTCTCCTGTTTTCAACAATATATTACTTTACTTTGTTTAAAATCACGCAAACTCACTGTCACGCGAGATCAATCGCGATTATCGATTATATGACTATATATATTTCAAAGATTATCAAAAGATAAACAAAATGAGAAAATTAGAAAACTTTACAACGAAACAAAATTGGAAAATAATTGACGATGGAAACAGAAAGAAAAATAGAATAATAATTAAAAAATTATAATAATAATAATTAAAATTATTTTTATTTAAATAAATAAAAACATAAGGAAAATAAAACAGGATTGCCATAAAAATTTAATTTTGTTTTTCCCTGACTTTTTCCTGATTTTCAGAAAAGATTTTCACTTTTTCCTAACTCTTAAAGAATATTCTGATTCACTATAAAAATTATTAGATACTAAAAAAATTTTCTAATACATTTATTTACGAATTTCTCTAATTGGAAAATTATTCGAAAACATCAATAACTTCTTTTTTAAATAAATATTTAATTATTATTATTACTTTTCCATAGGAATTAAAATTTTCAAAAATTTTTAATTCAAACCTTTTTGAAATTCTTTTTTTTTTCTAAAAGTTCACGCTATAATGCTTTAAATATTCAATTATCTACAATTTGAATTAAAATTCATTTTTAAATTAATTTTCATTAGAAAATTCTACAACTCAATTATTTAAATACAAAAAGAAATTGAAATTTTGACGAGAATTTTTTTTTTAAATTTTTTACCATAATTTAATTTCTGAGATGAATTTTATTACTTTTGAAAATAATTGAATTTCTACAATCATTTATAACTTCTCCGATATTGAATTTTTTAAAAGTATTTTTAACTAAAATTCTTCTATAAATTCATTATTATTTTTATTTTTTAATAATCAATTAAATTTATATTGAAAAATTTAACTAATTTCAGAAGAATTTGAATTATGCTTTAATAATATTCAATTATTTTATTATTAACTAAAATTTTAGTCTGAAATGCATTCCTAAATTATTTTTTACTTGAAAATTCTACAAGAATTCAATGATTTAAATACAAAAATAAATAATTTATTAAATAATTGTGCGTTTTTGAAAATTGAATTCTCATGACGAATTTTATCTTCTACTTTTTAAATAATTAAATTCTTTTAAACGAATTTTAATAAAATGTTAAAAAAAAGTAATTACCTTTTTTTTTAATTTGATTAAAATATTGAATAAAAAAATAATTGAAATTCTGTTATGAGTCTTATTATATTTGCGAAAATAATTGAATTATTGCGAAGAAATTCAGATAAAATTTGTAAATACTTTAATTCCTACGAAATTTTTGTTATTTATGAAAATAATTAATTTATTGCGAAGAAGGAATTAGAATAAATTCATTATTTTTAATAATTCATTAAATATATATTTAAAAATTTAACTTATTTCAGAAGAATTTGAATTATTAAATTTTTTTTTACAAAAATCGAAGTTCCTAATATTTTTAATTTAAACGTACAAAAAAAAAAAAAAAATTCTGTAAATTTTTGTTAAAAAATTTTAAAGTAACCTTTGTTCGTGCCACACATATACCTGAGGTGTTGACCTAAATATTTTGTTTCATTCTCTTGGCAGTGTGAATTTTGAATATATTAAGTTATTATTGCTAAGAATTGATTTACAAAAATATTGTCAGTTTTATTTTCCTTCAAATTCATGAGTTTCTATCTTCCCATTGGAATTCCATTTAGAAATTGATATTAACGCACCTCGCTTCACTGATTTATGATAGACAGTTCGGACAGTATAAACAGCGCCTTCCGTATCATTTCCAACTGAGTAGTTTATAGTTGTTACTGTGAGGTTACTGTTACTGTGACTACCGAAATTCTAAAATTTTTAATTTTAATGATTAAATTTATTTAAAAATCGAAATATTTCACTTTCGTTTCATCCTACTTTTAACATTTTTTAAACATTAATTATTATTATTATTATTATTATTATTATTATTATTTTTTTATTTTTTATTATTATATTACTGTATTTACAATTTTTCATCATAATGTTATTAATTTTTATATAATATAACATTATAATATATAATGGGCTATGGCCGTAGTCGTTAAGGCACGTGAATTAGTGAGTGGAACATTAGGGTCAGTGGTTCGATCCCCAACGCCCAGAAATTCCAGATAAAAATTATTTTTGGTGAATTATATATTATACATTTTTTAATACATTTATATTTTAATTATCGATAATAATTAATAATTACATAATAATTCGATTATAATATAATAAAAATAAAACTGTATTGAAAATTGTTTTGAAAAAAATATAATTTTTCGTAGCTAAATAATAAAAGAAAGAAATAAAATAAAAATAGTAATAAAAAATATATCAACAGAAAACCAATAAAACTATGAATAAAATATTTAAAAAAATAGAAATATTACTAAAACAATCTATTAGAAAAATAATAAAATAATAATAATAATAATAATAATAATAATAATAAAATAATGTATTAGAAAAGTAATCATAAAATTAATAAAAATAGCGTATTGGAAAAAATAATGAAAATAGTAAAAAAATATTATAATGAAAAAATATCTCTTTAAATAGTAAAGATAATGAAAAAGTGAATATTATTTATTGAAAGGAAAAAAAATTACCATAGTATGCGAAGTTTTGTTTGATTTTAATTCACTGGGAGGATTTCCATTTTCTATTAGTTGTGCTGTTTTTAGAATTTCTTCATAATTTTCTGTCGTATTATTATTTGACCCATTAATATTGTTTTGTTCCCCTTCTATCATTACTGTAGGAAAAAAAAAATTTATAGTTATTGTGTAGAAAAAAAATATACTCTCCTGACAAATTGCTTCTATTTATAGTTATTTTTAAAGAATTCAAATTTCGTTTGTCGTCAACAATATTTGTGAATTGTAAAAATAAAATCTTAATTTGTTATTGCATGATTTTATTTAATTTATTTTTTTTATTCAATTTTTAAAGTTTTTAAATTGAATGAAATTAAATTTATTTTTAATTATAAATTATAAATTCTATAAAACATAATTTAATTTATTATTGAATTTATAAATTTTATTTTATTTTTTTATTTTATTTTAGGAAACCATTTTTTATGTATAATATATATTTTACTTGTTTTCAAGCTGGCAGTGAGAAGAATAAAAATTAAAAATATTCCAAAATTCTCCATGATGAATATTAATATTTTAAATATTTTTGAAAATTGAATGAAACAAACAATTTCTTGAAAATAATGAAACAAACTCAACTAAGAATAGAATAATACTAAGTACTATATAAATCCTAAATTTATTTAAATAGTACTTTTCGACCACTCTTTTGTTTACTCATTTTATTGATACGTGTACCTATGTAAAATTTTCCACTTTTATTATTCCACATACATTAACATATCAAACAATTTAGATCAAAAATTAATGTTTTTTCCAATTTCTTAAATGATAAAATATATTATACCTGCTTTCACATTATCACTAAACGAGATAAGATTTTAAAATAAAAATTCTAAATTCTTTGTAATGCATATTTTTTTTCAATTAAATATTTGAACAAACACTTATGTTTGGCATTTTGATTAAATTAAATATATATTTATAATTATATTAATTTATTATGCTGAAACGACAATGAACTTTAGTAGACACCATCACATTTAGGGTGTTTCTACAATGGAATATTTATTAAATTGCGTTTGTATTCTTTTATCAAATTTTACTGTCTAAATTTGTCTGACTTTTTGCTTTTGAATTAGTAAATTTCGCTAAAAAAATTGTAATTTCCACCAATTTATTAGTAAATTTTGCTAATAAATAGTGATTTCTATTAATTTATTAGTAAATTTTGGTAAAAGATAGTAATTTTTAATAATAATTTATTAGTAAATTTTGCTAGTAAATGGTAATTTCTATTAATTTATTAGTAAATTTTGCTAATAAATAATAATTTTTGCTAATTTATTAATAAAATATACTAATTCAAATTAGTAAATATTTTTAACAATTCAAGTTTAGTCCTTAATGGTCGCAAAGAATTTACAATATGAAAATTTTATTCTCTAAATTTGCTGACTTTTTGCTTTTGAATTAGTAAATTTTGTTAAAAAATAGTAATTTCCACTAATTTATCAGTAAATTTTACTAATAAATAGTAATAATTGGTAATTTCTACTAATTTATTAGTAAATTTTGCTAAAAATAGTAATTTCCACTAACTTGGCAGTAAATTTTGCTAATAAATAACAATTTCTACTATTTTATTCATAAATTTTGTTAATAAATAGTAATTTCTACTAATTTATTAGTAAATTTAGCTAAAAATAGTAGTTTCTACTAACATATTAGTAAATTTTGCTATAATAGTAATTTCTAGTAACTTGGTAGTAAATTTTGCTAATAAATAGTAATGTTTACTAATTCATTAGTAAAATTTACTAGTTCAAATTTGTAAACATTTTTAATAATTCAAATTTAGTCTTTAATGGTCGTAAAAAATTTACAATACGAAAATTTTATTCTCTAAATTTGCTGACTTTTGGCTTTTGAATTAGTAAATTCCGTTAGAAAATTAGTAATTTCTACTAATTTATCAGTAAGTTTTGCTAATAAATAGTAATTTCTACTAACATATTAGTAAATTTTGCTATAATAGTAATTTCTAGTAACTTGGTAGTAAATTTTGCTAAAAAATAGTAATTTCTACTAATTTATTAGTATATTTTGCTAAAAATAGTAATTTTTACTAATTTATTAATAAAATTTACTAATTCAAATTAGTAAACATTTTTATTAATTGAAATTTATTCCTTAATGATCGTAAGAAATTTACAATATGAAATAAATAGTAAATTTAATTAAATAATAGTTAATAATTAATTAATAGTCGTTTTTTACAAAAGAAAAAAAATGAAAGTTTTGCAAAACAGAAGAAAAAAAAGAAAAGTTTGCATACTTTTATGCTAATGACACTACGTCCATTAAGATGCATTTTCAGATTGATTTTTTTAGTTTTCTCTCTTTCTCTGTGTTCAAATAGAAATTGTCTCTGTTTTGAAGTAAAAAAAAGTTCCTTTCAAAGAGACGTGAACCTTTGAAGTTGAGTGTACGTCGCAAATTCACACTGAAATTTAATGCATTGGAAATATTTAATAACAAAATTTTGACCTATTTTAGGTCCAAATTTGAATTCTGTTATTAAAAAAAATATAATAAAAAACCAAGAGTGTTTTTTTTTATTAATTAATATCATTAATAAACTATTGAATCCGTTTTTCATTAATAAACTACTATTTGAAATTTACTGTATATTATAGTCATTCTACAATACCAAATAGTTTTTAGTTTACTGTACAACAAAATGGAAATTGTTTTTTTATTAATTAAGACTATTGATAAACAGTTAAAACTTAAAAGTCAAAAAATATTAAATCTGTATTTATTAATAAACAACTATTTGAAATTTAGGTACTGTATATTATAGTCATTCTACAATACCAAATAGTTTTTATTTTCTTATAAAACAAAATAAGAATTGTTGCTTATTAATTAATACTATAGATAAACTTCTAAAACTTAAAAGTTAAAAATATTAAATCTGTATTTATTAACAAACTAATAATTGAAATTACCATATATTATAGTCATTCTACAATTCCAAATATGTAGTTTTTATTTTCTTATAAAACAAAATAAAAATTGTTCCTTATATCAATTAACACTATTAATTAACTATTAAAATTTAAAAAATTAAGAACAAAATTTAAAAGGTTAAAACTATTAAATCTTTATTAAATTATTTATTATTTATTACTATTAAATCTTTTATCTTTAATGTTTCCAATAATAAACTAATACAATTGAAATTCCTAAATATTATAGCAATTCTACAATATCAGCCACTTTTAATTTTTTACCTAAAAAAAAAATAAATTCATTTGAAAAAGAATTTTATTAATAACCTTCTAAAGGTATTTATGAAACCTCCCTTAAAGTTAGTTTTTAATTAAATTTCCCTAATTTTCAGTTGAAATTTCTCATATATTCGGAATTACGTCGTATAATAATTGCATTTTATGGTTACGCTGATAATTTAGAGGGAAAAGTTTTTGGTGTCTTTGTCCGTCGCTTCATTAGTAATTATATGTCTATATAGATATATTAATAATAATATTATATATGTACATAAACATAAATTGGAAATTAATGGGACGTGTGTTTGTCATGTCGTTATGTATTAAATATGGTTGTCAGACAATAAACCTCTTGATCAGGAAATAAATTCATTTAACATTGTCAAAACCGGACATAAATCATCAAGAGTTATTATAGAATTGAGAAAACAAGGAATATGAAAGAGGAAAATAAATCTTCAGCTTAACAAACTAAGTGCTTAACCTAATGGTACATGCAAGTTCTTGTGATTTGTTTCTTTGCCTCGCATACCTCACTTTTGTAATTACATAATGGCCTTAATTGAACATTTTTTAATCTCAAAAAAAAAAAATAAATTAAAAAAATAAGTAATAAATAAAATAAAAAATAAAAAATAAATTATGTGCACTAACCAAAATGTTTAAGAGCTTATTTCGAATTTTTTTTTTTTTTCGTTTAGTAAAAAAGGTCGAAAAAATCCAATCCATTCGAGAGAAAAAAATAAATTATAAATTACGTAATTAACAAAAATAGAAATTACACAATTAATAAAAGAAAAAGAACAGAAATAATTAATGTAAGCAAAAGAAATTAGATAAATTAATTTCTTTTTTCATCTTTATTTCTTTTTTAAACTTTAAAGAAATTAAACAACCGTTCCGTTTCTATTATATTGTTTCTTAGAATTTTTCTTTCTTTCTCTCTTTTTTTTTCTTTAATTAAAAATATTTTATAATTGGGAAAAAATTTTACTTATTTCTTAATTTTTCTTTTCATCTTTTATAATTCAAAATATTAATAATAAAAAATAAATAAATGAGAGAAATGTTACTTACTTCATAGATTTTTCTTATTTTTATTCTAAGTTTTCATTTTTTTAAATACTTTGAAGTTTGAAATATTAAATGAAAAAATTTTGAACAACTTTTGAATGAAATTAATTTTTCTTTTTAATAGTTTACATTATTTTAATTGTCAAATGTAAATCATTATCTCCAATGAATTAATATTCGAAAAAAAAATTTAATGTCCAATCTTATCTGACTTTATTCTTTATTGATTCAAAAATTAGTAAATTTTCAATTAATTTGAATTTCTTAGAGTGAAATTAAACAAATTTTAAAAGAAAAATAGTTTTTTTAAATATATAAAAATTTAAATCGCAATATAAAACCACAGTTCGTCATTCATGGTTGGAAAGTCAACATCTAATAGAAACGTCTTGGACGAAATCCAGAAGGAAAATCCAATTCCGTGTTTGGAGTTTTTTTTTATTGTATTAAATAAATTTTTTTTCTCTCTTTCTCTCTGTTTTTTCCTCTGACGTTTCTAGTTTTCTCTCTATTTTGGCAATTCGTCGACAATAAAATAAACCCCGCGCGTTTGGACGGGCGGCAATATTAAAAATAAAATTCAACCTCGAGACAAATCCAATTTATTTTGATGTCGATAATTATTGCGCGAAATTGTTTCTGAAATTGAATTTTTGTTTGAGAGCTCAGAGAAAAATATTCTTTTATTGAATCTCTCTCAACTCGAAATGGATTATTGTGGGGAAAAAAAACATTTTTTTCTGTGATTGTTATTTTCTTCAATTTTTTTTTTTCTCTACAAATTTCAATTTGTATTTTAATAATTCTTTTATAGAAAGAGAATTGATAGTTGAAACAAAAAAAAAATTTTAATTTATATTTTTTTTCTCGGGTGTTTTAATTAATATTTATATATTCACTTTTTTTTAGGAATAAAAAAGTCTTTTCATGCCTTGACAATGGTATTAAATTTACGAACAAAAAGAAGGGATTTTAAAAAAAAAGCAAGTGAAGTTTATGAATTTAAATGTGTCACATTTGTACATTTCCATGGAAAAAAAAAAATTCTCTTGTCTTTTCTCTCTAACAAAAATTAGCTTTGCATTTAGACTTCATTCTCCACGAAAAGTATTTTCACGTGATTTCCGAGGAGAGTCTCGCTCTCTCTCTCTCTTGTTATACCGGGAAACGAAGTCAGACAAATGCAATTTTCCTATTTTTTTCTTTTTTTGAACCAAGTAAAGAAATTTACACATAAACTTTTAATTATCTCGAATAAAAAGAAAATTATTTATTCTGAACCAGTGCTTGAGAATTTTTTTTTTTTCATTTAAAACGTTCTTTTTTCAAAAAGAAAACATTTTTTCCAATTAAAAATTTTTCTTGATAATTATAAATTTAATGAACCCTTTTTTTATCCTTTATAATTATATCTATATAAACGTTTGAATATACTTTGCATTAAAATTCGAGAGTAACTTTTAATGACACATATATATAAATATATTTGAAGAAAATTACAAAGAGAAAATGAAAAAAAGAATATCGATCAAATACGGACAATCTACAAAGAAAATAGAACTGCAATAATAATTATAATAAAAGAATAATAAAATAATAATAATAATAAATAATTATTATTATAGTAAAATAATAATAATTATTATAATTATAATTAATAATTATAATAATTATTATAATTATAATTAATAATTATAATAACTAGGAACAATTCGCAAGCGGCTGACTTCTCACTCACTTTTTTTTAAATAAAATCAGCAATTTTAAAAATAATAGAAAGTAAAAATTTTTAATTAAAATTTTCTTTTATAAAAATAAAATATGAATTGGAATATATAGTTTTAATATTATTATAATTATAATAATCATATATTCTGACATAGGGAGTTCGGGGAAAAATTAGGAATTTTTATTAAAAGTACACATTTGATAACAAAAAAAAAAAATATAGAAACAGAAAATTGACAATAAAAAATAAAAATAAATAAAAGCAGAAAATTTACAATATCCTGAGTATATTTTTTTTAACTCAATTATTAAATTAAAAAAAAAGATTATTACTATGGACATTTTTGATTTGAGAGTCAATTACATTATATATGCAACGCAAAGAGAATAAAGAAATAAAAAAAAAAAAAAAAATACAAAATAAGTGAATAATGTGACGAGGGATCGAGTGATGGTTGAAAAGTGAAGGGTGATTTCTGGACAAAAGGGGGGGGGAGGGTGAGTGAATAAAGCGCTTGATGATTTGCAATGTCTTGGGCCCCAAGTCTCATTTACTCAAGGTAATCGCTGCTGCAGGACCTCCGGCATAACTTACGCATAAATTACAACCCCCCCCCCTCATCTCTCTCTTTTTCTCTCTTCAACTATATGGAGAACAGAGAAACACAAGCATATATTGGCAACACTAATTGGCACTATAGTTATTCACTAACGATGCTAATTCAAGTTCTTAACCCCACGACTTGTTATTTCTTCATCCATCCATAACTCCCTCCCCCCCCCCCTCCACCCATCTCTCCTCTTTCAATTTTCTTACATACTTATCTACGCTTTTATTTGCAAATAAACCACCCCTTTTATTCTCTTAACATAAGATTTTCCCACATTTCTTATTAGAAAGAAAAAAAAATTATTTTTTTTTCTTTAATAATATTTCATATTCTTTTCAGAAAATTTAACGTAAAAAATTTAATAATTAAATTAAAAATTAAAATACGAAAAAGAAAATAAATATTTTAAAGATTTTAAACAATTAAGTATATGAATATTTATCAAAATTAGTATACACTGTTAACTTAAAAGCATCAAATTGCAACGAATTAATAAAAAAAAAAAAAAATGTGGATCAAATAAAAAATAGCTCTTCCAAATTGTTGTTATCAATTTGATACTTTCAAGAACAGTTGAAATAGAAATAAAAGAATTATTATTAAAAATTCTAATAAAATTTTTAATTCCAATAACTAACAAACGCTATTATTTTCAGAAATTATGAGAAATTCTTCGTATAAGTACGTTTAAAATTTTTATTTAAAATTATTTAGAAAAAAACATACATTATTTTCAAAAGATTTAAAGAAAAATAAAAAAAAAAATTCTTATCAAGAATTTAATTATTTCTTCAAAATTTTAATAAAACTTTTTATTTACAATTATTAACAAAAAACGATTATTTTAAAAACTTTGAGAGAAATTCTTTGAAAAAATTTAATTATACTTTCAAAATTTAAATAAAAACTAAATTTTTTTTAAAAAAATTAGTTTTTTTTCATAGGTTTAAAGAATTTAGTCAAACGAATTTAATTATTTTCGAAAAATTTGATAAAACTCAACTTCGAAAAGAATTTAATTTTTTAACAATATTTTAATAAACTTTAATAACAAAATTATTAATTATAAATTTTTAACAAACCGGATTATTAAAAAAAAAATTCAAAGAAATTCTTCAAAACAATTCAAATATTTTTAAAAGTTTTAAAGAATTGGGAATTTACTTATTTTTAAAAATGATGATAAAATTCTTATTTAATTTTAAGAAATAATCAATTATTCTATTAATTATTTATTTTTATATTTAAATAAGTGAAATTTTGTGGAACTTTCTAAAAAAAAATTGATTTGAAAATGAATTTCAGTCACAATTTTAGATTAAAATTTAATATTAAAAATGCGTTATAATTTTTAGAAATAGATAAATTTCTTTAAAGCTTTTTAATTAAAATTATTAAAAATCTTAATTCCAAGGGTAAAATAAAATATTTATATATTTATTAAACAAAAATTATTCCAGTAAAAATAATTTAATTTAGAAATTATAAAAAAATTAATCGTTTAAAAAATTTTAATTACATTTTTTTGAATATATAGGGAAATTCTTTTAAAAATTAAAAATGTTTATATAAAATTCAACGACAATTGAACTTTGTTTCAATTGTCAGAATAATAAAATCTTTTTTTTGGAGCTCAGTTCAATATGATCACTATTTAATTGTTAATTTAATATAATCACGCAATAGTTTCTGTGTAATATAATCTTAACTCAGATAATTTTAAATTCACTTAGAAAATAAAATATTAATTCGTTTGTAATATTATTTTATATTTCACAATGATTAATAATTATTAATAAAATTGATAAAATTATATATAGAAAAATGAATGAAGAAAATTATAAAATATAAATAAAAAATTATATAAATTATAAAAAAATAATAAATTATTAACTATAAAATATTAATTCGTTCGTAATATGACTTCATACTTTTTAATGAATAATTACTTTTTAATAATATATAAAATAAAAAGTAGAAAAATAAATAAAGGAAATTTTTATTTATTTATTTTACTAAAGGTGTAAATAAATAATTTATTGACACCTTAGTAAAAAATTCCTAGAATTTCTTTGGCTGGAAAGTATTTTAATGTCAGTTTATTTTAGTAAGTGTATAAAATAATAAATTAATTTCTGTGACAAATGTATTTAATTTAAACGTTTTTTAAATTTTTATTTGTTACATTAAAATGTTTACAGAATATTTAGAACAGATTTAAAATAGAGAGTAATTTTATTAATTTTTATTAGAATATAATCTTTTTAATGAATAATTTATTTTGTAGTTTTTTTTCCATGGCAGATTGAAAATATTTTATTGAATTCTTTTAATTGACGAAAATATTAAATGTTAATTAATATTAATAAAAATTTATATTTCGATCAGTGAAATATTTGTTTTGGCACAAAATTAGTATTTTAGGCAATACTAATAGATGAACCTCCATTACTAATTACATTCATTGAACCACCATTTTTTTGGATAGTTTTTGTTCCATTGGCATCCCATGAAAATGTGTTTATCGATGGTTGTTTCTTTTGTCCATCTTCGTAAATAGTTTTCACAGCGTGAATAGCGCCCTCATCACTGTTTCCCGTTGAAAACATTGTCATACTAACTGTCACTTGCTTACCCCTGACGGTCTAAAATTTTTATTATATTAAAACAATTATTATCATTTAATTAGTAATTGTTAATTGTATATTGTATTTTACATAATAAGTTGAATTTTAATTTAATTTTTTATTATTAATTAAATTACAAATTGAATTAATTATTATTAATTGAATTATTAATTATTAATTGAATTATTAATTATTAATTTAATTATTAATTATTAATTGATTTAATAATCATTAATTGTATTATTTATTATTAATTGAACAGAATTCAATTTCAAATTACAATTTACTGCATTTATTATTTATTATTTCATTATTATTGTAATACTTTATTTTACATAGTTCAATAAAAAAATAAGTTAACAAAAATATAGTAGAAAAACATAGTTCTTTTCTTTAGTAAAAAAAAAAAATATAATTATTTTCTATATAGTATAAAGGATAAAAATTTTAGAGAAATCGAAAACATAATTTAAAAAAACCTAATTAGTAATTAAGAATATTTTTTTTAATTTTTATGATTGTAATTTTTTAATAAAAAAAAAGATTTTATATTAATTTCTCTTGGTATAATAAAAATTTGAATTTTGTAATTAAAAAAAACATTTTCAAAAAATGTATTCTCATTGGAAAAAATGTTATTTCAGTTAAAAAAAATAATTTAATTGGAAAAAATATTTTTCATTAAAAAAAAATTTCCATCAGAAAAAATAGTTTCCATTCGAAATAGAGACATTTTTTTAACACATTACCGTTGTAAGAGAAGTTGATTTTGATTGAACATTATCTGGTGGATTTCCATTTTCTATTAATGCAGCTGTTCGTAAAATATTATTTTCATCGAAATTAAGTTTATTATTGTTGATTCTAATATGCACACCCCTTGCAATCGATTTTGCCTCCTCTTCTGCATGTTTTTTTCCCATATTTTCGAACTTTTTATCAAAATCCGACCAAAAATCTGTATTAAACATAATGATAAAGTTTTATTAAATATTAATTTATTCATTTACTTACGAGCATTGATTTTAAAAAAAGTAAAATTTTTCCCATTTATTGATTTTTTCATTTATTAATATTTCGAAATATAAAAAAATGAAAAGAAATAAGAAAAATAAGAAAAAGTCTAGGAAATAAGTAAATTTTCTCTCATTTATTAATATTTCAAATTATAAAAAATAAAAAGTAAAAAAAAAAAAAATAAGGAAAAGTTTTAGGAAATAAGTAAAATTTTCTCTCATTTATTAATTTTTTTTTTCATTTATTAGCATTTCAAAGTATAAAAAAATGAAAAGAAAGAATAAAAAAAAGAAAAAGTCTAGGACAATTTTCATAAAAATGTTAAATTTTTCAAATAATTTTTAAACTACTTTTTTTAAAATAAAAAGAAAAATGATAAAATATTTATTTTACCTGCATTCACGGTAGCACAGAATAGGATAGAAATTAAAAAGATTCTCAAATTCTTCATGATGAATATTTTGTTTTTTTTTTTGAATACCAAAAAAATTATTTTATTGCAAAATACAAAAAGGAACCTTTTTCTGGCACTTTTTATTCTAAAATGAATTGTTCACAAGTGTTGGTACTTGGTAGTCAATTTATAGTAGAGTTTATGCGCAAGATCCAATTTAAATACTGGCCTTCAACCGCTCTCTTGTTTGCTATTACTCACTAACGATACTTAAATACTTCTACGTAATTTCCGTGATTTTATTATTAAATTTAGATTTGTATAATTCAGTGGAAATTTAGTCTAAATGTTATCTTTTTCCAGTCGATGACGATTTTCTTTTATTCTTAAATTAATTTCTGAGTCACCAAAATGTAAAATTTAGGTCATAATTAATTAGACAAAAGAAAACAAAACACTACGATCAGAATTTAGGACCAAATTGTAAATGCGCAACAAAACGTTTATTTAAAGATAAATTACAATATAGTAAATATTTTTTATTGTAATTTAAATTTACAATTTTATTGTAACTGACTTGGAAATTTTAGGTCTAAACCGTAACAAGGGAAGCAAACGTTACTTTAAAAATAGTATAAATAAAATAGTACTAAAAATAGTATAAAAAATAGTGTAAATAAATAAAATAAATAAATAATAAATAAGTAATAATGAACAATTTAATATATACATAATAATAAGTAAAAAAAAACTTATCAAGCGCCGGGATTCGAACGTACGACGTTATAATGTCACGGTCCGATGACTTAGCCAAGTAACCACGACACACGCAATTTTTAGTAAATAAATGTGTTTCTACAATACTGGATTGTATTTAAATATATCCCGAAGCTAATTGAAAAATAACGAAGTAAAAATGGTCCTTCTACGATAGTAAAATAGAACAACAATTCCATTGCATTTTTAAATGACAAAAAAAAATTTTTTTAAAGAAAATATTTTTTATCTTTAAAAACTTTTGAGAAAAATTTCTATATCTAAGAAAAAGAGAAAATGGATTAAAAAGCTTATCCAATAATAACAGAAAGGAAAATATTTTGTCCTTTGATTCCTCTTTCTTCTTTTCTAGTTTTCTCTTTGAAAATTAAGAATTTCTTTGCATAAAAATTTTTTGCAATTTAAATATATATATACAATATATGATTCGGTGTAATGCGACGATGCTTGTTGCATGGTATGCGGCCAGAGGTTATTCTAGGTTCAAGGCTATACAGCAGAGTACAAACTCGTAGATGTATATATAAGTACCTATAATTTTACGTATGAGAATTGCAATTTACGAATAGCTCACATGGAATGAAGATTCATTTTGTGCGCGAGCTTAAGTTTCATTGACTACCTACTTTATGACTATTTATTTTCACATATATATATTCGTGCCATAAGAAAATAACTTTGAATTAATAAAAACGCCTATATAATACTTGGGAAAGCAATGCACATTATGTATAATTAACTCGAGAAATGTCGAAAAACTGCATTTCTTGTCATCTTATAATAAAAAACAAAAAAACAAAAAAAGAAAAGAAAAGGAAAGAAGAAAAAGTCAACGAATAAATTATAATCATTACTCGTTTCCCTCTTTTCTATCGTTTCTTATACTCATGTCAGAAAAACGAATAAATTTCAGTGTACCTCATAAATCATGAACAAAAAAATAGTAAATAAATAAAAAAAATAATAAAAAAAAAATCCAGGAAAATAAAAAAGAAATACGAAAAATTGTTACAAAAAAAAAAATATTTTTTTGTTTATACTCTTTATTTTTATTATCATCCTGATGTTTTTTCTGTAGAAAAATAAAAATAAACAAGCAAATTCAATTATTTCCAAAGATTAAAAAAAATTCTTATCAAAATTTCAATTATCTTTAAAAATAATAAAATTCTTCTCTGAAATTCAATTATTTTCAAAAATTGAAAAAATTTCTCATCAAAATTTCAATTATCTTTAAAAATAATAAAATTCTTTTCTAAAATTCAATTATTTTTAAAAATTTGCCTCTATTCAATGATTTTTAATATCTACTATTTTAATAAAAATTTACGAAAGAATTCAATTATTTAAAAAAAAAATTTTAATTAAATTCTACGCAAACATTTAATTATTTTATTATTTTTTGCAGGAATTCAATTATTTACAGATTAGTAACAAAATTTCTTTGCAAAAATTCCATTATTTTTATAAATAATAAATTTGTTTACAGAGGTTCAATTATTTTTATAAATAATAAAATTCGTATTAGGAATTCAATTATTATCAAAACTTCAAAAGTAATAAAACTCTTCGCTGAAATTCAATTGTGTTAAAAAATTTTAAAAAGTTATCGTCAAACTTTCAATTATTGTTATAAATAGTAAAATTCTTCTCACAAATTCAATTATTTTTGAAAATTTTAATAAAATTTTTGGCAATTTTTTCAATTATTTTTGAAAATTTGCCTCAACCCAATGATTTTCAATATTTACTATTTTAATAAAAATTTACAAAAGAATTCAATTATTTAACAAAAATTTTAATAAAATTCTATGAAAACATTAAGTTATTTTCATAAATAGTAAAAATTTCACAAGAATTCAATTATTTACAAATTTGTTACAAAATTTCTTCGCAATAATTCCACTATTTTCGTAAATAATAAATTTGAGTACAGAGATTTAATTATTGTTATAAATAATAAAATTCATTTTAGGAATTCAATTATTTTCAAATGTAGTAAAATTCTTCGTAAAAATTCAATTTTGTTTCAAAATTTTTTTAAATTCTCGTAAAAATTGCAATTATCTTTCCAATAAATATTAAAAATTTTTCTCTGAAATTCAATTATTTTTAAAAATAATAAAATTCTTCTCTGAAATTAAATTATTTTCAAAAATTTGCCTCTATTCAATAATTTTTAATATCTACTATTTTAATAAAAATGTACAAAAGAATTCAATTATTTACAAATTTGTTAAAAAATTTCTTCGCAATAATTCCATTATTTTTATAAATAATTAAATTTGTTTACAGAGATTCAATTATTTTTATAAATGATTAAATTCTTATTAGAAATTCAATTATTTTCAAATGTAGTAAAATTTCTCGTAAAAATTCAATTAGGTTCCATAATTTTTAAAAATTCTCGTAAAAATTTCAATTATCTTTACAATTATTAATAAACTTCTTCTCCAAAATTCAATTATTTTTGAAAATTTTAATAAAATTCTTGACAAAATTTCAATTATTTTCAAAAATTTTCCTGAATTCAATGATTTTTAATATTTACAATTTTAATAAAAAATTTTCAAGAGAATTCAATTATTATTTACAAATTTTTTATTTTATTTTCAATAATTCAATTATTTTCATAAATAATAACATTCTTTCTAAGAAATTCAATTATTTTCGAAAATAATAAAACTCATCGCAGAATTTCAATTATTTTTAATACAATTTTAATCAAATTCCTCGAAAAATTGAATAATTCATAAAAATTTTATTAAAATTCGTCGAAAGAATTCAGTTATTTTAAAATTTGTTGTTAAAATTCAAACAAATTGTTGAATATAAATATTCAATTATTCAATAAATTATTTATTTTTGTATTTAAATAATTGAATTCTCGTAAAATGTTCTAATAAGAATTGATTTAAAAATTAATTTCAATTTAAATTTTAAATAATAATTGAATATTAAAAGTATTATAGCGTGAATTTTCAGAAATAATTGAATTTTGAAAAGGTTTCAAATTAAAATCTTTGAAAATCTAAATTTTTCATACTTTTAAATAACAATTCTGTAGAATTACTTGTTTTTATAAAGTTTATTTGAATTTTTTAAAAAATTATTTGGATAATTTTACATTTAAAGAAATTCGTAAATTAATATATCAGAACATTTTTTTTAATATCTAATAATTTTTAGAGTAAATCAGAATATTTTTTATACTTTTTAGCGTAAGGAAAAAAGTCAAAATTTTCTCAAAAAAAAAACAGGGAAAAACAAATTTAAATTTTTTGGCAACCTCAATATTCTTTATAGATGAATATTTTTGCATTAAAATTTTTTAATTCACAAAAAATTTTTTTTTCCTCTTTCGAATAATAAACAATATCAGGATTTTGTTAATAATAAGAATAAAACGTGGAAAATAATAAATGATTTTGTTAAGTTGTATTCAACCAAAAGTTGGTAGATAAATTCAGTTTAACTTTAGAATGAGCCAATCAGCTGCTCGGGATGTTGAGTTAAACTCTCTTTAACTTTCAACTTTAATTGAATCGAAAGCTTTTTGTTTGGAGAAGGGAAATGCTTGAAATTGAATTTCTCGAAGCGAATATAAGCAGAATTTGAATTTCTAAATCTCGTTTCACATTTTTCCAGACAACTAATAAAAGTGAATTTTCTTTCTGTTTGAATTTTCAATATACATTGAAAATTTGCCTCTGGGTCACTCGCAAGAAAAAACATTGATTTTTGTCTTCATGACTTTGAATAAAAATAAAAAAATAAAAATAAAAACATTGTAAATTCTGATGATGAAAAAGTGTGAAAGAAAATATTTTTATGAAAAAAAATATAAAGATAGGAAAGTTAAGAAATAAAAGTTAAGAAAGTAAAAAGAAAGAAATAAAAATAAAGGAAATGAAAATAATTAAAAATTAAGAAATAAAAATAAGCAAATAAAAATAAATAAATAATTCAAGAAATAAAAATAAGCAAATAAAAATAAATAAATAATTAAAGAAATAAAAATAAATAAATAATTAAAGAAATAAAAATAAGCAAATAAAAATAAATAAATAAAAAAGCAAACAAAATTACAAAAAGGCCTTTAAATATTAACAGCATTTAAATTTAATTTTTAATAAAAATATTTTTCTAAAAACGAAAAAATACAGCCGCCCATTTATCATAAGTTGCTCAAGTAGAACACGATCTAATTAATTTCCGAACGATTATAAATAAAAGGGGGAAAAGGGGAAAAAGGAATAAATTGAAAATTGCCTATAATAATTTTGTCAAGGAGGCAAGATAACCTTTTCATTATCAATTGAAAAAGTTAGATTGCAAACAATGTTTGTGGCTTATCGATCGTTCAGCATGTTGAATGGTGTAACAAACATGGATTAATTTACATGTGGAAATGCGAATGAAAGTGGAATTCACTT